GCGTGCTGGCACCTCTGCCGCTGCTCTCGCACAGATCGATACCTTTTAGCCCGTGTAAACATGTTGCAAATTGATTTGAAACATTTTTCCAGTCGACGAGCAATCGTTGAACTTCACTTTGGTCTCCGGCGGATGAAAAACGAATTGTTATGGAATATAGAATCGGAGGTACGAAGGATGTTCTGGGTTTGAAGTTAGGTGCACGATCTCGATTGCCAAAAATTCACTTAATCCTGGTGCTTTCTTTCCTTCGAGAGTGTATTCTTGAGGTTTTTGGGCCAAAAGGAGCCAAATGAACCTGGACAATAAACTTTGAATATAACGTCGAGGGAACATAAATTTGACGGTAGCAAATGTTATTAAAAAAATAAGAAGGCAATGGGTCGAAAGAGACCCGACAATCTAATGCACGAGAATTTTTAAACTTTGAATATAACGTTAAGGGAACATAAATTTGATAAGAGAAAAGTCACAAGAAGGCGATCGAAAAAGACCCGAGGACCTCAACACCAAGGTTAAGAAACCGTGCATTCCGACTTGGATTTCTCCGAGTGATTGTAAACGAAAGAATATCCTCGGTGACCCGTGTAAAGTGAGCTCGTAAGGAGGACAGAGGCTACCTACGTCGTGAGGGGACCGTGGTAGCGTGAGCAGCTAGCCAATGAAACAATTGTCCTATTACAATAAGAGGCAAGGACGACGGTGGAGGCAACGGGGGGACACACTTTCCTGGGAGAAGAGTTATCGATCGATGACCCGAATAGCGTTTCACGAAAGTTATCAGCCCTCGTGTACGATATAAGATTACACGTTCGATAAGCCATTGTTTCCTGGTCGAATCCTTACCCCGTGTATCGCGCGGGCCACCGATAACGTGCACAAAGCATACCATAATCGTGCTGCTTAATTCAATCTGTCGTATCTGTAATAAGCCATGTTCGGTTTATCTGGGATCACACAGGCGCATAGTTCACGTGACTGGCGGTAGCCAATGCTAAACGTGAACCAGAAAAATCTGACCAACACACGACGTTTGAGACAGTGCTGCGGAATTCTGTCGAAATTTCTAATGTTTTCCGCGTCACGAACGGGGTGAAATTTACCAGAGGATAAGGAACAAAGGGTACGAAGGATCGTCGGAGCAAAGTGGTTGCGCAGAGCGGAAGTGGGTCAGAAGAAAGGGATGCATCGTTCCGATACATGAAAGAAAATCCCGGAGGATGAACCGGAAGGTTCGCGACACGCGCGGCCACCCGCGACAAAGTGTCTCTCGTAGGAGGTGGGAGTGTAAGGTTCCACGTTAGTTTCTCGAGATCGATTCACCGCGACGTGGCTTCCTACTGGCGCGAACTTTCGTGCACGCGGAACACGCCAGGAGGAAAAGAGGAGTCTGAGATTTAGTCGGGAGTTAAAGCTCAGTGGAAACTGCAGACTTCCAAGTCGTTTGTTAGCGCCGCGACGGCAAAGTGCATTTCGTAGTTTACCGCAAGTTTCGGCTCGCTTTGGGCGAGGTCTGTCTGGCAACCAACGACCATATTTTCATCTTTCCTAGATGTACATTTGTAATCTTGCGTTTTTTTTCAACGTTGGACTTGAATACAAGGAATAAATTGTACGTGCAAGACTAATTGTACGAAAAATTATTGGAGAAATATTTAGACCGCTGTGATTTTCATTGTTATTTGCGTGTTCTTTTAGCTCAGGACTACACGGGCGTTTTGCGTGCCGCGTTTCCTCCGCCGAAATAGGAACTGTGTGTTTTAATGCAATTGACTACGTAAAAAACGCTCTGAAACGCTTTGACACGCTCGCGAAACGCCATCTGTTTGATTACACGGCAGTGAGGTGCAGAAATTTTATAAGTAGAAACGTTCGATGCAGAAAAATTCATTACTGAAATTGAAAAGCGACCTACACTATACGACATACAGTGCAAAGAATATGGTAATAGAGATACAAAGGTTAAATTGTGGGACGAAGTTGCAAGGGAGATGTACGAAAACTGGAATTTTTATACCGAATTGATTCTTCCTGAAAACGCACGTACATACTTCGGCGGAGAAAACGCCCGTGTAGTCCTGGCCTTAGTCTCAAGCATTTGCGTTTCTTTTTCTCCTCTGTCCCATACCGTCCATTGTTAGCGTCTTACAGCACGTGCGCGGCATGTCAAATAAAAATCTACCAAAAACGATTATTATTCTCCTGAAAATTATCGCGTCTCTGCTACACCATGAGAATCAACGCAATCTCGTCTCGTTCCACTGTAACTATGTCTCAAGAACAAGTGTCCCCCGGTTGCTTGACTTTAAACGGCGATCGCTCCGCGACTAGTTAGCTCTGTTAATGGAATCATTCTGAATGCAATCGCGTCCCCGTTTCTCTAATCGAGCAGAGTCATTAGTCGACAGGCACGCCGGTGATTTTCACACTTCCCGGGTAATAAATAATCCCCCGGTAGAGAGGTGCAGTGTAATAAACGCTCGAGACTTTTGCTATCGATAAGGAGGTCCGTGGAGGTCTTCCACCTATCGTAAATTGTCCCGCCCATGAATCGTAAAGGTACGCGAAGCGCATAAATCACGTGGCGCTCGCGTTAAGCAAAGCGTCGCGGCGCGGCTCTACGCGTGATGGTTTTGCAATTAAAACAGGCGTCCGTGTCGATGACGTTCCGACTCGATACGCCGTGAATCGACTCCGCCACCCGGAACGACGATAAGACGAATGGAAAGGTGCGCTCACGTGGGCTGTAATAGCCCACGCGGATTCAATGTTGTTTCACAGATATTCCGATGCTGCCTTCCAATGGAATGCTCAACCGTACACACGTACAACGAGCGGTAAATCGTTCGTTTTGTTGCACGTCTAAAAGGACCAATTCAGGAATTTTTTATGAATAAACTGTAACTGGAAATTAAATCGAATGTTAGATGTTTTGAAATTTTAGCAAAATTAGCGAAAGCGTTTACAGTAGTGCACGCATAAGCGTCCGCATTTTTGCACACTTAAGCGTCCGTCGCTGTCCCCGCCGGAAATGGGACATCGGAGTGGGGTTCGAACGTGCCGAGTGAAACAAAGTGATTCGATATCGACTCCTGAATGTGAACAACCGACACTAGAAATATCGGTATCCGACTCAGACACATCTCCTCTCTTTTCTTTAGTTAAATTCGCAGAAGTCACCTGCCCACTTAAGCGTCCGCATCAGTCGGGACCGAATGCGGACGCTCATGTGTGCACTACTGTAATTCGAATAAATTGTAATATTTGTAAAATTTTCATACAATGCATCACACAGCATATTTAACCCCTTCTTTCCTGATTAATCATCTAAGCGTCAACTGATTATCGTTTTAGTACTACATGAAGTAAGAAGAGATAACGTACTGTAGATTAACTAAATTTGCCAGTCTTCAGTTTCACAAATGAAATGAAAAATTAAAATTAAAATTTTTCTTACCGATATAACTGTTTTTATCAGATCTTCACCAAAATCTGTGGTACGAGTCTGACTCGTTGTTACACGACAAGGGGTTAAATAGTTCTGTCTCTGACCGTTGACATATTATTTATGCATACTGAAATGTGTCGTATTTAAATAAAAAATGAATTTCAGTGCCGTGGACGAGTTACCTAGAATTGGTCCGGCATTCAACCTGTTAAAATTCTAACATAAGCTCCAAATAGAAGAAACCCAAAGTTCTAGTTGCAGCTTCTCAACCAGTTGTTCCAGGGTACATCTCCCGCGAAAGTCGTTGGAGTGACAAATTCTAAACCTCCAAGTTCCGAAAACTTAACTCGCAGATTCTGGACCAGTTGTTCGAGTGTTCATCCCGCTTCTACGTTTCAGCGTTACTCCGTGGGCTCGAGACGAGAGTCGAGATCCCTTTCTTCGTGGGCAAACTACGTACTTCAGGTTGCCTCGCCTGAGGTCCCGTGGCTTCACCTCCGCGCAGCTGGCTAAACGTTTGCTCTTGCTGCTTTCTCGCTTTTTCGGTGCGGTAATGCACTACGTAATAACGGTTATTTATAGGCTGTAAATGCCGTGTGCCATTCTCCGGTTATCCCTCTACCCCACGGTTCATCGTTTCCTCGCGACTGCTCCGCGATAATTCCTCACCGCCTTGGAATTCGACCGACTTTTATTTCCTTTTTTTCCCCCTCTGTACGCGATCTATAGCCGACGAAGAAGAAGCTCGAGGAAACTACTGAAACTTCCATTTTATAGCTGACTAGACGTTAGTGGGAATACGTAAAAATAAACATCTTCCTGAATATTCCATTAAATTATCGATTATCTACTATATTCCAGATTCTTTCGAGGAATCATCCGATCAGTCAGTCAATCGAATCATCCGAAACTTCTCTAAAAGACGTGCTAGAATATCCGAGGACGTTTATCGATCCAGTAGAAAACTGGAACACTGTTAAGAATTCGAAGCATTCTCGCGACTTATCCCGAAGGAACGGTAAAGAGAGAGAGAGCGAGACAGTGGGACTTCGATCGTCACATAATAGAGGTTCTCGTCCAGGAGGCACGTTAATTGCGGCTGGGCGAGGAAATTGGAATCGAGGTAAAGAGGTATCAACTGGCCGGTGAGGAACAAGAGGGACCACGTAGACGGTAGACGGAAGAAACTGAAAGCAGCGGCGTTTTTCCGTCGAAAGGAGTTAGTTGCCAGTGTCTACGAGGGGGTAATTTGCACTTGGCAGTTTCACGCCGCTTCGCACTGCTCTATATAGAGAGAGGCCAGCCTCCTTTGAAATCTTTTCTTTCCCTTTTCACATTTCCCTTGGGCCTTTCAGCCGGATGGGGGAGAGCAGTCGCGTCACAAGCTAAATAACTCTGTTCCAATTTTACCGTTGTACACGTTTAAGAATGTGCATACGCGTACAACGTGCATCTTCTACGGTGGATAGAGAAAACGATTCGGATGGTGAATCTAGACCGGTGGAGAGAAGAAGATAGGCGAGGATGGTGGGTTTTAATCGTATGAACTCACCTTGTTTGCTAAGTCTAGCATGTTTCCAGTACCCCCTGCGGCTGCCTCCACTAGTTTCTGCAGGGTGTGAGGTTCCGGCGAGAGATCCCGCGCTCCGCTGTCGAATTCCCAGCGTTCATGCCGACCGGATACGGTACCTGAACGAAGACACCCCAAATGGAACATCGTCTGCGATGAAATTTATCGCTGTTAACCCCTTCGTTGCTATTGCCGCCTATAGGCGTTTTCAAAAGTTGGAGCAATTTGGTGCAATTTAACCCTCAATCAGTCACGAGAAATTTTAGTGCATAAACAGTCGTGTACTCTCCGTGAGATTGATTATTTTAGGAACGGAGGGAAACACGACTCGATGGAAGTTTTTGCATTGGTGCATCGATCGATTTAAATTAAAAAAAAGAAACACTAGTGTGGCAAATTGAAGAATATGCGTCATCCAGATTTTTTACTTTCGCATATCTGTCTCAAAGTAAATTTATAAAACGCTATAAATGGTACAATTTCTCTTTTAAACAGTTACAGTAATTTTTTCCAAAGTAACGCGACTGAAAGAAAAGACGCGAAATCATCTTGTTCCCATGTCAAGCGCGGCTCTAAGCGCTCCAAAGTCAATGTGTTAATTCAATAAACCGAATTTCAAAGGATACGGCCAAAATAAGAAATTTTGCAGTCGTGATTAAAAATTGATTGTGTATTAAAATCTGCCGCAGCGAAAGGGTTAAAGAGAAAAAATTAATGTTTCTTTTTTTTAATTAGTCGATAGTAGAATTTCACTCGGATCAGCGAGATTTCTTCGATCGAAGAGGCTTACCAAGGCTGTTGTCGCTACTTGTAGGTAGATATTCCGGCGTGTGCGTGTGATGCGGACTAGATCTGTGCTTGCCAGACCTGAGCGCCTCGATTTCCGGTCGGAGAGCCAATCGGCACCTGAGGAACTCTTGATAGGAAATGCGACCGTGCTCGTCCGCCCCTAATTCTCTCATTAACTCCTCCACCGAATTCTCCAGGTTCAGCTCTCTGCATACCGTCAGCAAATCCTGACTGAAATTTTAAACAGAAGAATACCCTCAATTCCAGTCGCTCTAGAAAATTCCTGCATTACGCCGCAGTCTTGTCCTTCTGCTATAGCGACCCCTGCATGAAAAATCGAAATAAGTCGGAATTGCGGAGTAACTTATCTTCCCTTTCTTTTCGAAGATACGTTATTCCATTATTTCGACTTATCTTGATGTCACGATTCTTTTAAAGCACTCTCAAGGGAACTTTGGTAACCCGAAAATTCCGATTCTCTTCAAAATTTCAAGAGAAGTATCGGGCAATTTTTTTTCGGCCCCTTTTCGGCTCTTCGGGGCGAAAACAGCTCTTGAATGAAGATACTTAGACTGTAGTAGACACAGTAGACTGTAGTATAACAAAAATTTAATGCCTTTCTATACCATATAAGACAACGAACTGAAGAAAAAATTGTCCGATACTTCTCTCCAGGTCCCCTACAAAACTGCAAAGTTTAAAAAAGAACTGGAATTTTCCGGTTACCGAATTACCAGGTTTCTGAGTGCTTGAAAAAAATCGCGATATCTACTTTTCGAGACAAGGTGTACATTTTACACGCGAACTATTCTAACGTTCCCTTCTAGACGAGCATCTCATTAGTATCGAATCATTGACCCGCCAGAGAGCGTAGACAGTGAAATCACCTGTTTTTCCAGGCGATCACATATCTAGCAGGGCAACAACGACCCGGCTGAATAATTTATTCCCTGAATAATTCATGGATCGAAGATGTCTCGCGGATATGTACCTCGATACACGTCGGACGTCTTGGGCGAGATTAAAAGAAGCGTCGCGATGGCGGAAACAGGCGAACAGCCAACGCCGATGCGGCTGCTGCACTGTGGCTGGCTGGCCGACACACACACACCGACTTAATTAAAATCGCCACGGCCGTAAACCGTTTCTCTCCGTGGCGTCCCTCTGTCTCTGCCGCGACAAGTCCCTCTTAATTTTCCGCGACAGCGCGATGGAGTATCGGCTAGGGTCGATTAAAATGTCAACGTACGGGAACGACGGAGAATTCAGCGCGAAAGACAGACACACGGCGACTGGTCGATAAGCGGAGAATTAAAGATTCACCGGCTGCACGGAGCCGGCACGGACATTCGGAGAAAATCGTTAAAAGGGGCCATTTCTCTCTCTCCCTTTCTCTCTGGCTGAGAATGGTGACATCTTTTGTTGAGATGCGGGAGAAGAGGCGTGGTCCAGACATAATTGGCCGTGGAAATTTAACGTGCAGGTGTCGAATGAACCAATGAATATTAATTATTCAATATTGCACTCTGCTGATGTACAATATCAACCTGCATCTATATTCAGATCTGAAAGGGTTAAACAAGTACAAAGAAGGAAGAAGCTTAGCAGACGACGAAACTTGTCACGGCAAGTGCAGCCACGCAGATTACAGTACACAGCAGCTTATATTGGTACTAGACGACCTAGTGGGTTCAACGGAACTCGGAAACTTTTATAAAATTCTAGAGATCAATTCCAGCGTACCGAAAAATGGTAAACCTAAATTCCGTACATTTTATACCTTCTTCCTGTAGATTTACTGTATATTCTATAGATCCATAGATATCTAGGGGCACGACCATAAATTTGAAAAGATATTCGAGGTACAGATATTAAATAGACGTCTGCTATCACTTATGCATCGGAGTAAAATATGAAACACGTCTTTCATTGATAATATCTAAACAATTCCACTCTCCGGTATCCACTCGGAGAATACTACGCATTCCGCGACACGACGGTCGAAAAGAAGGGAATTTCGAGGTGGACGAGTAAGGGGTGGCGACTGAAACTTTCTCCGGCAAACTTTCCTCTCGTCCTCCCGCCGAACTTTTCACTATTTTTCCGAACGTAGAAGACGAAGAGGTAGGAGGAGCACGGCGCCGATCGGATAACGCGAGTTCATCTAATTCCACGTGTCTCTGTGTTTGCTCAGGCACGTGTGAAACGCGAGCCAAAGGAATTTCTACGTTTTGCAAAACAGCTGACTTGTCCTGTTACACCTTCTGCAATTTTAACCAATCTTCAAATATTACAAAAAAAGAAAAATATTTCCCATTTTCCAGGAGTGCCCAGAATTACGCAGACTCGAAATAATCTCGGGCAACAAGCATATAGCGTGCAACGAGCAAGCGTTGAAACATTCCAGCGGTTTCACGCTACATTATGTTTCACAGGAGCGGCGAAAAGCGGCGTTGAAGAGCAGAAACGAGTGAAATCAGGAACAGAAAGGGAGGGGCCGTCGACGTGGAGATCCGGTCGCCATTAGCGGCACGCAATCAATGCGTAAGCATTATGTAATTCACGCAGAGGCAGGCCAACACGTTTGAGTGTCATCCACTGGCTCCGGCTGGCCTCTTCAAGCCATTGAACCGATTTCCTCGAGGTGCTCGCTGCTTAAGTCGGGGACAGCGTCGAAAAGAAGCAAGAGCGCGCGTTAAACGCAAGTAGCACACTCGAGATCTTCCGAGCCAACGAGAATCCGTGTGTTCACTTGTCAGTCGGATGCTTTAAGACGTTCTTTGGTCTTTCGCGAGAGAAGATTCGGGTTAACAGCTTATACCTGTTACGTTTCGTTTCATCTTCTTCGTTTCTACCTTTTTCCGCGGATATCTACTTGGAATTTTTATCGCGTTACTCGGGAGAGCTGCGATCCTCGTGGTTGAACATTTCCAGGCCCCATTTTGGCGCGTTTAGAGTACTATGATACGACAGCGTCGTTGAATAGGAACAGTGAATAGCTCGTCAGTCGAATTAACATGCTCCATTCTCCCATTCTAATGGTGAATTTACGTTGGGAAAGGGAATGGATCTCCCGGTTTCATTTCGGAAACGCGACTACAGTCAGACGTTCTCCGGCATTCCGTAGACGCTATTGATCTGTGGCGCTAATTGGAATGACGCTGCTTGATATCGGCGTCGCCAGCTCTCCGCAAGCGACCGCTGCGATTCTTCTTTGGTGTTCTTGTTGCGCAAACGGCCGGCTGATCTCCAACCTTGCACGAGTCTCTAGCCTTTTATCGCGAAAGGGGGAGTAGCTGCAGGAGATATTACGAGATTTAACGTGGCCACCGACGGGGGAAAAACAGTGCATTATGAATAAGAAGTTCTATCAATAGAAAGACTCCGTTTCTCACTCGAGAACCTCGGTCAATATTTCTTACTTAGCCTTTGACAATTTGCGGGATCTTTTGTTCGGAGACCTTTGTTCGAGAAAAGATAAACATCGCTTCGGCATAAACGAGGTAGAAGATGCTACCGAGGAGAATACCTCTGTTTCATTCCTGTACGAAAATGGAGTTCGGAATACTCTTTCTCGTGTATTAAGGCTAAAACGAGCAGCAGAGTTAAAACGTCCGTTAGGAACTTTCTAAAAAAAGGAAGTGTTCCATACTGAGTAGCATTGTTTGTAACTTTCCGAGTTTGTTTACTTCGTCTATACATCTATTTGTTTCGATAGGAGTTTCATTTTTTAGTCGCGTTTTGGTTATCTAAAAATTCACTCTTGAAAAGTCGCTAATGAGTCCTATATAGTGTTAACGTATCGTTCGAATTGACACATTTTAATATCCTTAAATACAATACGTAGCAATGGTTAAGAATAATATGTAACAAATTTACGCTCAAAGGAGAATTCGTATCGGAGAACTTCGATAAGAATTTAATAAAATATTAGAACATTTAACTGAAACTTTCCTAACAAATGGCAGAGAGAGAAATTCCGTAGGATTAAACTCTGCTTTGCCCATGAAACACTTGCCAAAGTTGAGCGACAGGATCTAACCGTACGTACCACCTGGAAATCTTCCTCTTGAGCTTTCTGAATGAGAGCCTCTCCAAGGTCCTGGATTCCCAGGGTTTCAACGACTCCATCATCCCCACGGTGGCGACTTTTAGGCCGATCACGGCCTCGGACACGCGGTTTAAGGTCCGGTCGAAGCGATGCAACGAGTGCCACTGCGGCGGTCGTCGGTTCGCGGTTCCATCGGCGGCGAGGAGGGAAAAAAGCCGGAGGAAGAGAGACGCGTGAAACGAACGCGACTTAATCCACCGCGATGCATGTCACTCGACGTCCCGTGTGCGGTTTTACGGCTGACGCGTGGCTTTATTTTAACACACGCTGCTCCCAGCCCGTTCTACCTGCCTGAATCTTCTCTTGTGGCGTGGTTCGTTCTGTCTGGCGAAAATTGCGACGAGAGTTCCACTCGAAGATGAGTAACAAAGTTGAGGAATTTGTACCCTCGTTAGCTCGCCAACGAGATGATTGCGGAATTCTTCAGGGAAAATAAGGGAGAGGAATTCTTCGCAAGTACTTAACCCTTTCGTGACCAGTGGGATTGTATTCCGTACAGTCTATTTCTTAACCTTCCACTTCTTGTATTTAATAATTTCAGGGTAGGAGAAGTAACGGAACTTGGACGAAAGAATTGGGCAGTGTCGTACAATCGATAATTTAGTCAAAGTCCTGAAAATCTTTGTGCAAAGACTGCTCGACAAAATGTAAAAATTGGAAGAAAGCAGTGTGTAGGATATAACGAAAAATAGGGGTTATTTTGGGTTCAGGGATTACTAAAGGACGAGGCTCTAAATCAGGCGTGTCCAACCTGCACAATATCGCAAACTTTTAACATTATTATGTGATTTTTAACGGTATTTTTCACGACTCAATTGCAAGTAAAGGAGGTTTTGTTAACTGTATTAAATATTTCGTACGGCCCAGGCAAATCGAAAGGTTGGACACCCGTGCTCTGAATGATGGAGGGATTACTAAGTGATGGTGTGAAATGTTTGCTGTTTAGGAAAGAAAAGTATGACTAAAACCAATAGTCTCGCTTGAATATTCCAACAAAAATTGACCTGAATTTAGCACCCATTACAACGATGATCGAAAGGGTCAAACAGATTTGTAGTACCAAAGTGAAAAGTCTGGTTCTTAACAGATAAGGTACATTCTTAATATCTATATTTTTACC